CGGCGTGCACGGGGCCTGAGCCTGCTAGGAATCCGTAGGCCTCATTAGCACTTTCATTTTAGGTAATCAATTCAGATAATCAATCAGATAATCAGTTGAATAATGAACTTTTATGATCAGTTAATCAGCTTAGATAATCAACTTAGGTAATCAACTTAGTCAGCTTAGATAATCAACTTAAATAATCAAATTAGATAGCTTAGATAATCAACGTAGATAATCAGCTTAGATAATCAACTTAGATAATTACATTAGATGATTAACTTTATTAACTTAAATAATCAGCTTGGATAATCCACTAATCCGCAAGCCTCATTAGCACGTTGGCAGGTGGGCTTAGATCGTCAATTATCTGCAATTATCTGAAATGTCTTTACGTCCTAGAAATGACATTTATTCTGCTGGTCCTTTTCTTTTAGGTACAAGAACGATTTTCTTGGCATAAAGTTTCTTCATTTAAATGTGCATTTTTTAATCTAAACTTGAGAATGTTGAAGATAGATATGCCTACACACTTCTCGAACTTACTCTATAACTATATTACTATTTTTTGTCCGCATATGTACATCCGTATCTATATGAATTTGCTATCTGGTGTATAGAGACAGATAAGCAGATACAGATATATAGATGTGAACGTGTATGTGTGTGTGTATGTGCATGTGTGTGTGAGTGTGTATGTGTCTGTGTGTATGAATGTGCACATGTGTGTGTGTGTGTGTATGTGTGTGTGTGTATATATATATATATATATATATATATATATATATATATATATATATATATATATATATATATACATATATATATACATATACATATATATATGTGTGTGTGTGTGTGTGTGTGTGTGTGTATTTATATATATATATATGTATATGTGTGTGTGTGTGTACCCATATATATATATATATATATATATATATATATATATATATATATATATATATATATATATATGCACACATCTATCTGTCTAAATCTTTATCTATCTATCTATCTATATCTTTATATATCTATCTATATCTTTATATATCTATCTATATCTTTATATATCTATCTATATCTTAATATATCTATCTATATCTTTATATATCTATCTATATCTTTATATATCTTTATATACATATGTCTATATCTGTAAGTATGTATGCCTGTAATCACCTATCTAAATATCTGTATCAGCCAGCCTGTCTCTGTACTCTAGAACAACTTACCTGTGGAAGTGCTTGAGAAGCTGACGCTGGTGCCTGCTCCCCTGTGTCCTGCCGCAGCACCAACGGCCCCTCCGCTTCCAGGGCGAACTCCTCCTGTATGGCCTATTACATTTAGGTGGCCTCCTCCAATCAGCTGGCCTCCTGCGGTTACATGGCCACCTCCACCTACAGGACGTCCTCCCACGATGAGTGAGGGTCCTCTGAGGACAGTTACTTCATTGCTATCGTCCACTTCACCACCAATGAACTGTATGGACACCGCCTGCCCACTTCCGCCACTTGATCCCGAATGTCTGTGACCAGAGGAACCAGCAGCACCATGTGAGCCTGAGCCGAAATGGGATCCGGAGGCACCAGCTCCGAAGCCAGACCCAGAACCTGAGCCTGAGCCAGCTGTACCATGTGAGCCTGAGCCAAACTGGGATCCAGAGGCGCCAGCTCCGAAACCGGACCCAGAGCCTGAGCCTGAGCCAGCTGCACCACGAGAGCCTGAGCCAGCTGCACCATGCGAGCCTGAGCCAAAGTGGGATCCAGAGGCGCCAGCTCCGAAGCCAGACCCAGAGCTTGAACCAGCTGCACCATGTGAGCCTGAGCCAAAGTGGGATCCAGAGGAACCAGCTCCGAAGCCAGACCCAGAGCTTGAACCAGCTGCACCATGTGAGCCTGAGCCAGTTGCACCATGCGAGCCTGAGCCGAACTGGGATCCAGAGGCGCCAGCTCCGAAGCCAGACCCAGAGCCTGAGCCTGAGCCAGCTGCACCATGCGAGCCTGAGCCAAAGTGGGATCCAGAGGAACCAGCTCCGAAACCGGACCCAGAGCTTGAACCAGCTGCACCATGTGAGCCTGAACCAGCTGCACCATGCGAGCCTGAGCCGAACTGGGATCCAGAGGCGCCAGCTCCGAAGCCAGAGCCTGAGGCGCTTCCGCCTTGTGACGTGCCTGCCCCAAAGCCTGCCCCAACACCTGAACCAGTACCAGCCCCAAAGCCAGTGCCTGTGGAACCAACTCCATGGGCAGATCCAGAGGCGCCAGAACCGAAGCCTGTACCACCAGTGCCAGCCCCAAAGCCAGTGCCTTTAGAACCAACTCCATGGGCAGATCCAGAGGCGCCAGAACCGAATCCTGTGCTGGCAGTGCCAGAGGCGCCAGAACCGAAGCCTGTGCCACTAGTGCCAGCCCCAAAGCCAGTGCCTGTAGAACCAACTCCATGGGCAGATCCAGAGGCGCCAGAACCGAATCCTGTGCTGGCAGTGCCAGAAGCGCCAGAACCGAAGAGCCTGTGC